TGTTTGGTCGAAACACTAGGCTGTTTCGCTAGGCTCATATTGAACCTGACTTCTGTCGGCTTCGCAAGACCGACAACCCTCACCTCTGGAAGCAGAAAGAAGTCTGTGAATCTTAAGCTCCCTCCCGGACTTGGGACCGGGACTGCTCAGGCGCTGACAAATGCCATGGCGAGTAAGGAAAAAGGCGACTGTACTAGCCTGACCTTACCTGAGCCGAGAGGCTTACTACAACGACAACAACAACAACAACTACTACTACTACTACTACTACTCCTACTACTACTACTACTACTACTGCTACTATGTGCTCCGATACAACCGAAGAACCTCGGGGAACCCAATCGCACCCCTCTTCATCCTGGCCTGTCTGCGGCGTCCCAGGCTTTCCTGCCAAGGCCAAGAAAGTGAGGCTCAACGCCACGAAGACTGCCCTTGCGCCAGCCTCTTCAGAGATCAAGCCGCGACCCCGCCCACTGTCAGGCCTGAATCTTCACGACGATCATCGAACACTCGCTATGATGCTGCTCTACACCCTGCTGGCACGCCTCCTCTGCTCCGCCTCCTCCTGAGGAGGAACGCAAGAAAAATGTGCCAATGGTTTTGGAAGTCCAGGAAAAACATGGAAGCACGTCGAGGGTCTAGCTCAGTCTTTGGGAAGGCTTTGTGATGTTCTTTGCCCTCCCATGGGGCCTCAAGAGAGGTGGCCTGACATGTAGTCCCTTCCGTAGAAACCCTGTGTGACTTAAGTGTCTGGCGAGGCGTGAGTATCCTCTAAGGAACTGCCCCCTGTGCTTGCAGTCGCCTGAGAGGGGTCAGGGTCCAAGGGCCCCAGCATCCCGCTTCATGAGGAACCTGTGGGGAGGCCTGGGAAAGGCTTCGACGAGTTTGAGCGGTGTGATCAAGGCCCGTTCACCCACGGCCGACCTAAACCATCCCAATCGGTCTACCGTGCCTATGTCTGCAAGACTCTCGGTTTGATTCTTTTCGGTCTCCTCGAGCTCTGCTGTGTGATGATCAAGGGCAGCTGTTGGAGCCGTTTGTGATCTTCGCAACGTCCGCCGAGCACTGGTAAGCTGCTCATCACCTGAAGATTGTCGCTACATCGTGCTAGCCGTGCTCATGCCTCTCCATTTACATACTGTGAAATTTCATCGAGGATCTCGGTCCTCATCGGCGAAAACTCGAACACCATTGCTCCGCACAACTCTGACACGTGATCCCAAGAGAACGGACAAGAAACCTTCCTGTGTCGTTTCGCTGAATCGCTTAGGGCTCAACCCAGTATATCACCAATCTCGCCGACGATGTCCTCAGTGGAGTGTGATCCGTGTCTGACCCGAAACCGACGACGGCCTAAGCCAAAGTCCTTTAACAGGAGTGGGGATTCAGCCAAAACGTGGAACTACGTAGGGACCGCGTAACTCGACAGGATGTGATCGCATCCGAAGCCAGGCGAGGTCTGATGTGTCTCGGGTCAGAAAAACTTCGCTCTGCACACTTGCAGGGTAATTTGCACTCTGCTTGGCAGGAAGCATCCAAGTCATCGCCTGCAGGCTCAGCTGAGGGCTCCTGAGCTCTGCTTGTCGTGGATCTCTCTTGGTTGAAAGAACGAAAGAAATATATCCACAACAATGACAAAGCTATTACTGTAAGAATGACAAGGCCCAAGGTCCTTCAAGACAGAGGGAGAAAGACAAAGCCCGAAGCTCGAAGCTGTGCACACTGCACTTCGCACTTCATGCGCCATGTGCGGACATGCAAGAAACACACAAGTGCTGCAAGTCTAAACCATGTTTCTTCAGCATCATGCTGGCAAAGACGAGAGGCCACCAGAACAACTGGTAGTGACATTTACAGAGAGTCTCAAGCGAGGACACAAGGACTAGACTTCGGGCAAGCACGACTGCAACAAAGGCTATACAATCAACAACATGACAATCACTCAAAATTCTAAGCACAGATTGCGAAATACACCGAATCACTCAGTCCCTGCAGGCCATACTCGGAATGACGCTGGAGTCGCCAGGGGGTATTTTTCGCATTATGAAGCCTTCCACATCCTTTCACGCAACACTGCTGAAGCTCACAACGATTTTTATCAACGCAGAGGCAGGATGATAGCATTGAGCCAAGAGTCTGGTGGCACCGGCCGAGCTGGCATGCTAGAGGCCGCCCTGTCCACCGCACCCAATCAACACACAAACCAAACAAAGGCTATACCTGCTATACCTCGTTTCTGTCACAGGATTTGCCACCCCCAAACCTCGCAAGCAGCTGGATTCTCAAAGAACATCTTTTGCGGAGACATTCCTCATCTGAGAGTTATATGCATCGTTTGTGCACTAGCCTTGCCCTCAAACTAATTTTCAGATGTTGCCGACCAAGGGACGGTCTGTAGTCTCAGAAGTGGAAAAACTTTCAAGAGGAATGAGACTAGACATTGTCAAAGTCGTGACCCGGGGTTAGCTGGTGCCACCACACGGAACGAACAAGGTTAGGCTTAAACTGTGGAAAAAGAAGTCTACCCCAGGTCATCCTGCAAAACGGCTGGGAAAAGTGAACAGCTGCATCCAAAGCTGTTTTACACGCAAGGGATAACATCAAGTTCAACACTCACACAGCATGTGAAGCGGCCTCCCACCGAAAGCCACATGTTGTTGACTTTCAAGTCAAGATTGAGACAAAAGTGAGGCAAGCTCCTGCTCGACATGGGTACTCAGGTCCACGCCCAGCAACAGCTCTTTCAAATTCTCCTGACAAGGCCAGCCGCCACATGATGACAATCCTGCTGATGCGTCGTGTCCTGGATAACTACTGCATGGCCCAGGTGCAGTCGAGTCGCGCTCGAATTCCGAATCCGGCTCATCATCCTCTGTGACGGGTGGCCGAGTTTGATCAACCAGTGCTTGGAGAGGGTCGACTCCACGCCCTGACACCACACGGGACTTGGTTTGTCATGGCAAAACAACTCTCACAGCTTTTCGAACACCGGCCTAACCGGAACCCTTGCTGTCTTCGCTGCCGAGCTGGAGCTCCAAATTTCAGCTCTTTGTTGTCACCCAACAACTCGCCAATGCTTTCCTGGCAACCGTAGGGAAATCAAGCAACAACCACAAAGGTCATCTGCGCACGACGACAGTCTTTGCTCTGCAACTTCGAGATCCAACACTGCGCATCTTGTCGGACCATCAAGATATGCTCAATCAACAAACACTGTCAAATCACACGCACACACTGCGACAAGGCCTCTCTTTTTGCACTGCCGCCAGCCACTCGCCCCGAATCGTCATCTTCATCGTCAGACAATCCTCAAGGCCCATTATTCGAACCACAAAACATCGAAATACTGGAAGTAAGACTCGAACCAAGGTCAAGATCCAGTGCTCCACGATGACTTCGCTTGTCTGGACGCAACATGGTGAAGATGTCGTGTTTGTTTCGGAGTGGTTTGCTATGACAACAACAACATGTACTGACAGCTTGCATGAATTCTCTCTCCGACTGCAGCATCAAAAATGCACGATTACGGCCATGCATCCACTAACAAAAACTCCCTGTGTGGGGCCACTGTGCGGTTCTTCGGAGCTTTTGAAAGGCGGCCTTCTTTTATTCGGCCACGCAACAGCAAAAGGCCACGGCTTTTTAGCTTGCAAGCAAAGCGAGCGAACACAACACTGCAAAACAGCTAGAGAACAGAGCCATTCTCAGCTTTCTGTTCGGCTTGCTGGAAAGACGACTCCAAAGCTGCAGACCCGTCCGATCTTGGTTTGCAAAGCTCGTATGGAAGCATACAACATGAAGCAACAGCATACAAATCGGGAAAAATGGCAAGCAAGTGACAGGAAAAAGCTTTTTTTTTTGCGTGGATGGCCTGGTCGATGGCGGCGCACTCGGTCCAAAGACAGCTAAGACAAAAAAATCACAAAAGCGGTCAAACATGCTACGACTTACGGACTTGGTCGGAAAAGGTCGTTTCGCAGTTTGTTGCAGTCTCATATGAACAGCAGCCCCTCAGATGTCCCGCTTCCAAAATCAGGGTCGCATGCCAATCCGCAATGCATGGGTCGCGACATGCTGGCAGTGGCAACTCATTGTAGGACACTAAGACAGAGCAGATCAGCGTCCAAGTGTCTAATGGCTACAAGTCCACAGGCTACTTGACGTTCCTTCCATATGAAATCAGATTCGGACGGATGCCGACAAGTTGCAACGGCATTCTGCACTTCTTCCACGAGAGATGGCTGAAAATAAGCCTGATAAGACGCCTAGAAATGAACATCTCCACCAGGTTGTAGAAGGCTGCCATTTCACATGGCAAGAGTCCACTAAGTTGCCATCCTCAACACAAGCACAATGCTCGCACGGCGTGTGAATAGGCGGCGAGCGCTGGTGTCGAGAAGAGACAGCCGTCTCTTTTTTGTTGCTCCAGCGCTGCAGAGTGGGTTCAGGGGGTAGAGTTCAGCAGCTCCGATCGAGTGGTCACAGTTGAGTTGTATTCACGGTTTCGAAAAAACATCTTAGAATCCCAAAACACAAAAAAAGTCTCTTTCATTCTCGTTAGCATTTCTTCCACAACTTAGCCACTTCTTAAAAGCCAACCCACAGCCTGGAACCTGCTGTTGTTTGGATTGTTGTTGTCTCCGACTGAACTTGTGCACATGCTGTTAATTCTCACACTTAAACGCCACTTGACAACTAACCAATCAATTCCCTCCCTTCCTCGAACCACTTCAAGCTTGAAGAACCGTCCAAATGGCAATTTGAACGCGATCTAGTTGAGAGACGAAGCATGCGCACAGAGTTGAAAAAAACCCCATTTTGTCACGGTATTTGTCGTCCAAAAGCTCATTTTGTCAACGGTAGTTGGCTGACAACTGTCTCTTAACGACGGAAACTGGAATTTGGTTGCCGTAGTGACTTCAAGGACACTACGAGCTGGCTGAAACCTGGGTGTGGGGTGAGATCAGGCTCTTCTGGCCCAAAACTCCCTTCTCGAGCCGAAAACCTGGGTTTGGGTGAGATCAAGGCCTTGGGACGTGCCGGGCTGGAAATGAGGTCTGGAACGAAATCACCGAAAACAACATTTGCCCAAAACAACTAATTTGACGCGCTGAGGGCTGGAACCCGAAATTTGCCCGAAACAACTGAGATGAGGTCTGGCCAGGACCATTGGAACCCGAAAATTTGCCTAAAACAACGAAATTTGCCTAAAAACAACTAATTTGATGAGGTACAACTGATATTAAAGTTTTTTTTTTCAAAAGATAGAGAGGTTTGGGGTCTAGAGGTTTGGGGATTAAGGTTGAGGGTTTAGAGTTTAGGGTTTCGGGATTCGGGTTCAGGGTTAGGGTTGAGGGATTAGGGTTTCGGGTTTAGGGTTTAGGGATTAGGGATCAGGGTTTAGGTTTAGGGTTTAGGGATCAGGGTTTAAGGTTTAGAGTTTAGGGATTCGGGTTCAGGGTTTGGGGTTCAGGGTTTAGGGTTTAGGGTTTAGAGTTTAGGGTTAAGGGTTTCGGGTTTAGGATTTATGGTTTAGGGCTTCGGGTTTAGGCTGTAAGGTTTTAGCATTTCCGAACCTGGAAGAATACCCACCCACCCAAAGGTCACATAACATAGGAAGAGAGAATATCTTTCCAGTACAACCAACAAGTTCAGTTTCCATTTTCGTTAAGACACAACAAAGAAATGAGAGTCTAATAACTAGATTCAGAGTTGTTTGTACTACTCGAGCACATTAATAGTTTCTCCAGAAACGTTGCAGTTGACTATGGTGTAGACGCCACAAACTCTGAACGACTTCGCTTAACAGATACTAGTGCTAGGTATGCTTCCGTTTCACAGACTCTTCTCTCCGAAAAGCCCAGACATTCTCGACGCCTTCGCTAGATGCTGTTGCGTCTTGTTGGGTAAAAACATTTTGTTAACGGTAGTGGTCATAAGAAGCATGCAGAAAAAAACATTTTGTTAATGGTGCTTGTCGCCCGCTGTCCTAGTTGAGATACAAAGCATGCAGACAGTTCAGAGAAAAAAAACCATTTTGTTAACGGTGGTTGTTGCCCGCTGTCCTAGTTGAGATACAAAGCATGCTCCATTTTGTTAACGGTGGTTGTCGCCCGCTGTCCTAGTTGAGATAAGAAACATGCAGACAGTTCAGAAAAAAAAAGCTTCATTTTGTTAATGGTGCTTGTCGCCCGCTGTCCTAGTTGAGATACAAAGCATGCAGACAGCTCAGAGAAAAAAAAGCCACATTTTGTTAACGGTGGTTGTCGCCCGCTGTCCTAGTTGAGATACGAAGCATGCAGATAGTTCAGAAAAAAAAGCCCCATTTTGTTAACGGTGGTTGTCGCCCGCTGTCCTAGTTGAGATACGAA